CTTGGGCGATCCCGGTCTACAATTGTTAATGGGCGGATTTCTGTGTGTACTCTGAAGTTAACTTGGAAGTGTCTGAGTCCAACTACGGGGATTCTGTTCCCCTGGTAGTCCTTCAAGGTCAGTCTTTGGCTCTCTAGTTCCTTCCTTCGTATGCTTGGTATCAGGTTTTTAAGTGTGTTCCATGATACCATAGACAGGTACGAGCCGGAGTCCACCTTCATCTCGCATTGTTGGCCTTCGATGTTGACTTTCACGTGTACCTTTTGGGCATCGGTCGCGCTTGAGTGCCCAATGGTTATCATTTGGTGGGTCTCTTCCTTCCGGTAGGTTTCATTGAGCCTCTTGCTTCTGTTTTCACGGCTCCAATGGCTCCCCGCTTGTCTTTCTCTCGTCCTGGGGGGAGTGCTGTCTCGTTGTCTGGGGCTGTAGCTCTTTCAGTTCCAGCAGACCCTTGCTATATGTCCCCGTCGCTCGCAGTGCCGGCAAACCATGTCAAGGAAATGACACTCGGAACGGGGGTGGTCTCCTCTGCACCCAGCGCACTGGAACTCCGACTTACGTTCTTTCCTCTCCCATCTGTTTCGTTCCGACTGGAGTCTGTGTATTTCTTCTTCCTCGTCATCGGTCTCAGACAGGGATTTGATGTCCTCATGGTGCGTGGAGGTGGTGGTGGTCTTGTGATTGCCCTCTGGCTTCTTCTCTTGGGTTTGGCTTGTCTCTGCCAGTGTTGCCGGTGTTGCCGTATTCATTAGCCACATGGTGGCTGCTAATTTTTTTGCAGCTTCAGCGCAGTGGCTTCAGCGATGGCTTCGGTGACTGTGATGTTTGGTCGGGTCAACAGTTGGCTCTGCAAAGTGAGATCTCTCAGTCCGAGGACCACACGGTCTCTCTCTTCTCCATGTTGAGAAACTCACATGCACCTCCAATGTCCCTTAGAGCCATTACGAAATCCCTGATGCTCTCACCTTCTTTCTGATCTTGTTTATAGAATTCGTGTCTCTGGATAAGGTTGGAGACAGTCGGTGTGTAATGGGCTCTCAATAGCTGGTTCAAATCTGGCCATGCCATCTGTTTAACGTCCAGGGGTCTGGCCAACACCTTGACCATTTTGAAGATGGCGGGCCCACAGTGCATCAGGAACACGGCTCTCTTCCTTTGATTGGTTATCTCCTGTAGCTCATTGCTCTCAAGGAACATGAGGAATCGCCTCTATTAATTCTATCATCGTTAACTTTTCATTTAACATAATCTTCACTATTTCAGATTTCTCCAAATATTGTTTTATTTTTTCTTCTGACATTTTCTTTTGATTATATAATTTTTCATAATAGTTCTGAATTATTTTCTTTTTATTTTCATTTTGGTAGTGAGGGGTTCCCTTTTCATCTAAAAAACTATGGATTAACTTCTCTTTATCCTTTTTTCAATTTATATGGTAACCATCTTCCTGGTTTTTTGGCATTTTCAAAGTAATTTTGTTTTGCTCCTTTAATCTTTTGTGCTAATTCTTCTGTTTCCATTAAGTTATGTTTGTATTTTATTAACTCTATTTGCTTTTTTAAATTTCTTTTTTGCAGTTCTTTCTGTATATCTATTTCCAGTCTTTTATATTCTTTTGTCAATTTCTTTTGTGTTTGCCTCTTTTCCTTGTTCTTTTTTGCTGTGTAGGTTATAACTAATCCCCGAATGAATGCTTTTGTTGCATCCCATATGTTTTGTAGTGAAGTCTCTTCTTTTCTGTTCTCCTTAAAAAAAGAAATCCATTTCTTTTTCCATTATTTGAATAAATTCTTTATCTTTTACTATTGCTTAATTCAACATTCATCTGTTTTTTTCCTTTGGCCTTTCCATTTTATTTTTATTGGATTATGACCTGCCCGTGTGTTTGTTTCAATTTCTATCTCTTGTATGTTTGCTCTTAATTCCAGTGTCCACTATATCATATCAATTCTCAACCATGATTGATGTCTATCTGAATAAAATGTATATTGACTTTTCTCTAAGTTCATTTCTCTCCATGTATTTTGGAGTGAAAATTCTTCTGTCATTAAAAAAAAAGTCCTTGGTAGTGTTTTCCTTGCCTTTTTGTCTATTTTCCTGCTTTTATAGTCCAGTTTTGCATCCACTACTGCATTAAAGTATCCTAACATACAAATGTTTTCATAGTCCATTTCAATAGTTTTCATATGAAGTTTTTTATAAAATTATTCTTGTTTGTTATTCAGCACATATATTGCTATCAACAATACTTGTTTCTATTTATTACCTCCACCATCAATTTCTTCCTTCTTCATCTGTATAAATTTGCTTGGAATTTATTATTTCCTTTATATATATATAAAACCACCCCCATTTTCTTTTGTTGTGCTAATGAAAAATATGCTTTTCCAATTATAGGGTATTCTAAAAGCTTACTATGTTGTTTTTTGATATGAACTTCTTATAGACAAATTAAATCAAGCGTTAGTTTTTGTAATTTTGCAAAGGTTTTTTCCCCCCTTTTCTTTGGTGAATTTAGTCGATTTATGTTAACTAATAACATCTGTAATTCTTTCATCTTCTCATTTATATATAAGTCATTTTGTCCTAGTTGATCTTAATTCTTTCTGTTCTTTTGCTTTTTCTCCTTCTCGTTCTACTCATTCTATTTTCTCGGCCTTACTTTCTTCTTGCCATATAGTCTTTTCCTCATGTACTGATTCTCTTTGACCTTTACATTCTATTCCCTCCCCCCCCTTCCTGTTCTTCAATGGTGCCAAATTGGTATTCATAGAATTCATGTGCTTTGTCTAATGAGTCAATTCTATGATTTTTTTCATTCCAAGTTACTAAAATTCCATCTGGTATCAACCATCTGAAATTTAGATTGTATTTAATTAGCTGTCAGAAATTGGTATTATCTCCTTAGGTTTCTTACTCTTCTTGACACCTGTTTCAACATCACAATTTCTTTGCCTTTATATTACAGTGGCTTATCTCTCACTTTTTTGAGTGTTTCAACTCTTAACATCTTCTTGTCAAATCTGACATGAACTTGTCTTGGGTGATTGTGTCTTCTCACATACTTTGTGTGTATTTGAAATATTTCATCAATTTCTGCTTAAATTTTCTGTTTTGTAATTTGTTTGCCAACAATTCTGTCATTATATCAGGTAGGTCTTCTCCTTTTTTCTCTTCTATGTTTTGAAATCTCAGAAAGTAGGCAGCTTTTCCCATTTGCAATAAAATCGCATTTTCCTTCAACTCTTTATTTTCCTGTGTAAGGCTTTGATTCATTTCCTTCATTTTTTCCTTCTGCTTGCTCTGATTTTTCTTCTATTATCTCAATCTTTTGCTCATTTTTGCTATCATTTGTAGAAATTCCCTACTCTTTTATGTATTTTTCCATATTATGTATTTTTTCTTTCACCTCTCCCAACTTACTTTTCACCTCATTGTGATATTTTATTATGGCCTCCTGTAGGGATTGAAACATCATCTTCATGTCTTTTTGAAATGAATTTGATTTTTCTAATTGCAGCATATGTTCTATGGACCTTTAATTTTATGGGCTTGATGCTGCAGATGATGTAGTAGAAGATGGTGCAGATCTTTTCTTTCCTAGTTAGATTTGGATTACTTGCCATTTCTGCTTATATCTATTAATCAAGTGGATTTAAAACTTAATTTAGCAAAATACACCACACTAATCCCGTTCCCACTATTTTGATAAACCAAGGAGAAAGCACGTCTTTCCCTTCCAATTTCCCACTGTTATAACTTTTATAATCCATCCAATCCATCCAATTCTTTGCAACTGATTGTTTTTCTTCTATCAGTAATTAATATTTGCAATCCACAAGGCCCACCAATTCCCCATGAGTTGTAGTTCTCAATTCACTCAATTCACTGTTAGTTATACTTATAATCCCAAAGTGTTGAATTTGGAGAAAGAACAAAATACCCTATTTGCAATGTCTAGGGGCTGATAAATTTAAAGATAAAATCTAGTTGTGTGGGCTGCTATGTGTGCATGTCAAGCTGACCCTTTTGCAGACAGCCCTGATCAGCATCAGGTATGGATAAGAGTTGCCTTGCAGGGACCTGTTTACTTCTCCCTAGTAAAATGCAGAGGCCCAGCTACCACTATGGGATGGCCATAGGAACAGCCAGGAGGGAGGGAAATTCCCATTCTGTGAATTCTATGTAGGAAGGAAGAAGCCACCAATCTGAAGTTTATAGAAAGAAACAAATAATGGAATCTTTTCCATCCGTCTGCCGCAACATCCATGACAACTCTCTTTTACTGGAACAACTTCATAAATGATAGCTGCATTCATGGAGAATAGCCAGACGTTGAATTGGAGTGCCCTATCAGACACACCTTTTCCCCTCATCTCCTTTTGGGGAGTTTTCAGAAATATCTCTGGTACCCAGAGAAGGAGTTAAGCAGCACTCATTCTCTGATTCAAAAGGTTTGTTTTCATGCCCAGGAGTCCATCCAGTGGACAGCTGCTGGGATCTGTCTAGCTGGATAAATGCATTCACTGCCATATTCAATGGTCAGCATGAATTCAGTTCAGCAAATATAGATTTTCTCCTGGGGAAGGAAAAGCCTTTACATGGTCAAAAGGATAACTGTGTGTTAGCCATAATTAATTATTTTCAACTTTTGTACTCAATTACTGTTCTTCTTTCTGTTGCTTATTGTTCTTAGTTGTGATTTGCTTTTGTATATTGTTCTAGAGTCTTTGGAAAGGAACAGCATGGTATAAATAAAATAAGACAATTCCAAGCACAATATCCTCAAGAAGAGAAATGGTGGTGAACCAGAATAACTTCCCCCACTTTCTATGGGAGAACCAGTCACTAAGTTAGGTTCTTGCCAATAAAAGTGTTCAGCATGTACCAACTGCACCCTGTTGAAAGCTCTCCCTTGCCAAGAAGTCACCCAAGGGACTGTACCATGGCAGCTGAATTTACATGGACAGGAAACAGCCCAGGAGCCTCAGCCCTTTGTCAAAAGAAAGAAGAAATAGAGGGCTGAAGGCTTTTCCGCAAACCTCCGATTGAATCCAGTCCAAGATACCTTCCTTCCATCTCAGCTTTTGCTCAGCTATGGCAGCATGTTCCTTCTGGATTTGCAGGGACTTTGGAGCCACCCTGGGGCTCTTGCTCGTAGTCACAGGTATGGTTTTTCATCTCCTGTGGCCACATCCATTGCTTAAAATGATTTAAAGTCCTAGGCAGCTTAATGATGTTAGTTGACTTTTTTATGTGTTTCCCCCTTTCTCTCATGAGTCTAATTTGGTTGTCTTTTGGGTTGAATGGTAGGGCCTAAATGAGCAAATAGATAAATAGAAACTACGTTCATTGGCTTTTCTAAATTGATGCCATTCAGAAGCTAGCACTAGAATTTCCACACTGCATGTTGACTAAGATTGGTACTGCTAATGGTTAAAGCAAATACTATGTTGAGGAGTCTGGTCTAAATTCATAGAAGGCTGAGAGTTGGATCCCAGGTGAAGATTTGATTTATGAATAAACAAGATGCACCACCTGAAACCCACTTGGAAGAGACAGAGGTTCCTTTTCCAGTTATTCTGAGAGATTGGAGGAAAAAGTACCAAGAGAGAGAAGGGGAGGGGCAAAATAAAACCAGATTAATAGAGGGATCAGCAGAAAATTCTTCTGAGAATTCAATAAAAGCAATACTGAACTAAATAAGAGATAATGGCTTCTCTAAATTACTGGGCATATTTTATTTTAGAAATTAAGCTTTACAAAAATGTAACTAAACACCTGAATCCACATTTTACAAAGACAGTATTTTTTCTTGCTGGTGGAGATATTACTTGGGAATTTTGGTGGGAGATGGAAATGTCTAAGAAAGAGCACAGGACCTTCTTCATTTCCCTCCTACCTCTCCCACCCACACACGCCCAGAGTTGTTGAGGGGAAATTTCACAGAAGCAGGAAAGATAACCGTGTTCATTGGGCTGTGTTACCAGAACTGCAACACTTCCTGTCCAGCTGCTTTAAATGGGGAAAGAAGCTGGCACTGTTTTTTTAAGTGCATAAAGAACTTCCTTCCAAGTAAGCCTTGCATTTCAACCTAATAATAAAATTGGATTCAAGCTACCTGGCATTGAACATTTTACCTTTTAGTAAATGCACAACTAGAATTGGCCAGATTTCATCTTCCTGGGCAGAGATTAAGGATAACAGGTGGGATCTTTAACTCCCAACTCATACTGAAAAAGCATGTCTAAAGCATGATCAAATAACAATAAGTGAAAAGTGAATATTATTATATTGTTTCCTGTAATAATTTAAAAAATAGTTAGTCCATGAAAAGAATATACTGTTTTAGAAAGATTGTTATGAAGTTTATTAACACATCACACTAGCTCATGTTTTATTTAATCATGGTTTATCGAATAAACCACAGTTGTTGGATTCACCTAATACACTAAGGCAAAATCAAATAACATTATGGCTTAGCATGATACATGAACCCAGACAATGGCTAGGTTTACAGATCATACTAAGCCATAATATAGTTAGCTGGATTTTGGCTTAATACATGCAATGAATCCATTGAATTGCAGTTTATCAGTAAATCGTGGTTAAGAAAATACAATTTGCAAATGTACCATTGTGGGAAATAGGCAGTGAGTCGTGAAAACATAGAAAGTCAGAAATGTAAGGGACAGATTAGAGGCTCCCTTATCTTCAAAGGTATAAACACTCTAGTCTGCAAAACTTCCTTGCAGATCTTCAGTTCTGGATTCAGATATCACTTAATCTCATTCAGCCACTTGCTTTTCTCAGGGTAGCATATCCAGACAGTCAGTTTAACATGCTGTCCTCTGTCCATGAGATGGCACAACAATCTCACCTGATCCCATGCATTAGATGGTGCAAGTGTCCATGGAATGGATAGAGGTTGATATGGGCTTGAGTGATAAAATTGCCCACGGAGTGCTTTTGCTGTTCTGCAGTGCCTATCAATGGGGGCCGAAAGGCAGGCCATTCAATGATTTTGCTGCTGAAACCTCTATGGGTGGCCACGGTTCATAAGAAGTACTATTCAGTTCTACTCAGCCCTCCCCCTCTTCAGCACCTGCCAATTTTCTGGGTTGCCTGCAGTATCTGAGCTACAGGGAGGACATCTCCCATATCCATGAAAAACCTGCTGCCACCCCTGCAGACTTGCTGACCCAGTTCCCCTCTTCATGACCATGAAGGTTGAGGTAGCAAGGACTGAAGTGGAAAAACTGGAGGACTGTCAGCCAGCACACGATTATGTTTGACCTGCTGACGGTCGATCACTCGTTTTAGCCCCCACCATGTGTATGTTCTGTTAACTGGGCTGCCAACACACCATGCAGGGGACCTGGGATGAAAGAGGAACTATGATTTCAAGCACTCTGTCCTCATCATATGACATATATCCCCATCAGCCACTTCAGACAATGTGCCCAGATAGACACCTGACCTTCACCCCCATTTCTGAATTGTCAGCTTAATTGTCATTAAGGTACGTATGCGACATTGTGCTGATAGCAAAGCTTATTTCAGAGAACATGGGAAATCCCACTTCAGCTTTGGTGGTTCAGAAAATCTTGAGGTCACCTAACCTTGACTATTATTAAGCAATAATAATGCTCTGTGAGGGTCATGGAAATGAAACCAGGAGAATCCACGTATCCGCTTTTTATCTTGTTCCACGCTGAAACTGTAAAGAGGACACTTGCCACCCTGCTTTCTGAATCAGAACAGGGCTTGTCTGTCGGGGCAGGACAATGGATGTCAGTATACTTTTCTGGCAGCTCAAGGGCTGAAGGGAAGCATGTTAACATGGCCACATATTTATCTCCCTTGGGGGATGCACTAAGTCTTCGTGTTATACCTTGCCAAACACCAATTTATAGCCACTCTTGTAGCCTTTGCCAGTGAACACTGGTTGGACCCGCTGAATCTTTGGGTCTAATATCCAAAATATTCAACTTCACCAATCATTTCCATACCCAAAAACTACTGAAAGCATATCCAGCATCAAAACTGAGAGAATTTGGGGAGGGAAATGTTGCTTCATTCTTTCTCTCCGTTTGTTTAGATCATTTTCCTTGAAGGCACAGAAGACAGGAAAAAAAATCAAACAGCACTAATTTCAATTTTAGTTGAATGGTTAAAGTAGCTGTTTTCCAGAGCATTTTTCCTCTTTCCCCAGGTATGACAATCACCAAAGCTTCTACGGAAAGAAATGTTTCTCAAAAACAAGGTATATGTGTACTTTCAAGATAATATTCTCTTCCAGTTCCTAATTCTTGAAGCATCCTTTTTTCCAAGGTTGTGTTATTTGTTACTTGTAAAATGATTGCCTGATTTTGAGTGCAACCAGAGCTGCTATTTTGGGAACAATTTAGCTTTTGTAAAAGAATCCAATGTTCAATTTATTTCAGGTCACTGGGGGCCCTTATGGACCTTTGGCTCTTTGTCAGTGGACCAAACTAAGGCCTGTATTTCCACCTGTACTGTGTTTGGTTAAAAGGCCTTGCCAATACCTTCTCTTCCACTTCTGGCTACCTTTTCATCCAAAGAGACGGACTCTGTAAGAGGATGAGTCCTTCAAATCCCCAAAAGCCAGCCTGGACTGAGAAAGGACCAGCCCATGCCTGACACTATCCGGTTCCCTGCTCTACCTGTCAGTCTCGCTCCAGGGTTAAGACAAAGCAAAATAGGTTAGGAGTCCCAATCTACTGTGCTCTATAGATGAATGAAGGCACAAATGAAACATGTATCCCAATCGAAACTAGCTCTCCCCCCATGGAACTTTCCAAAGGTACTGGCTGCATGTAATGAGCCCAGAAATGCAGCATTTCTAGAGGGAACCTGGCTGGAGAACATTGGTAGAAAGTCCAGTAAAGATATTTACCCTTCTTTTCCATCTGCTCTCCGCCTTTCTCTCCTTATTGTGAGCTTTTTTTCTTTTACACAGATACAATCAGTTTCATTAATGTGATCAATACACGTTTCATTGCTGCAAGAGGGGGAGCCCGAATTTCTCTTAGCTGTTCTTTTGGCTCTCTGGCAAGTTGGTATAAAGAGAGTGAGCAGGACAAATACCAGGAGATCAGGAACAGCTCCAGAGTCCATGTGACCAGAAATGCGTCACTGGTAATGATGCAGATCAACAAACTCCAGCACACTGACAATGGTGTCTACCATTGTATGAACCGGGACGTACTGAAGCCATCATGTGGTACTGAACTCAAAGTCATGGGTAAATTTTTAATCTTCTAAATATTGCCCTCTTTGATGCTACATGTTTAGGTATTACTATGTATAGACAATACTTCTTGGCACAAGGCCACATATTCTGTTCCCAGAGAATAATGTACCAGCTAATATCTGGGACTCTGTTCATACTGGCAGCCTGTTGTAGCTAGAGACGTAGCTTTTTCTCTGGTAAAGAAAAAAATAACTAGAGCATACAAAACATTTGCTAGACCAATACTTGAATACAGCTCATCAGTCTGGAACCCACATTACTTATCTGATATTAACAGTTGAGAAAGTCCAGAAATATTTCACAAGAAGAGTTTTCCACCCCTCTACTTGTTGCAGAATATCTTATGCCACTAGACTCGAAATTCTAGACCTAGAAAACCTAGAACTATGCCGCCTTTGGTCCAATCTAAGTATGGTATATAAAATCATACAGTGCAATGACTTACCTGTCAATGAATACTTCAACCATAACAACACAAGAGCAAACAATAGATACAAACTCAAGGTTAATCGCACCAAACTTGATTGCAGGAAATACAACTTCAGCAACAGAGTGATCAATGTCTGAAATACTCTTCCTGACTCTGTGGTTTCTTCCACAAACCCCACAAACTTTAACCTTAGACTATCTACTATTGACCTCACCCCTTTCCTAAGAGGTCTGTAGGGGGCGTGCATAAGTGCACCAACGTGCCTACCGTCCCTGTCCTATTGTTTATTTTATTTTTTTATTTTTCTTATATCTATTTATTTATTAATAACTATGCTTTTACTTATACCTGTTATCTTGTAAGCAATTGACAAAAATAAATAGAATAGAGTGGAGTGGAGTGGAGTGGAATGGAATGGAATAGAATAGAATAGAATAGAATAGAATAGAATAGAATAGAATAGAATAGAATAGAATAGTTGAAAGGGACCTTGGGAGGTCTTCTAATTCAACCCCCTGCTTAGGCAGGAAATCCTACATCATTGCAGAAAAATGGTTGTCCAATCTCTTCTTAAAAACTTCCAATGTTGGAACATTCACAACTTCTGGAGGCAAGTTGTTCCACTGATTAATTCTATCAGGAAATTTCTCCTTGGTTCTAGGTTTCTTCACTCCCTTGATTAGTTTCCACCCATTGCTTCTTGTCCTGCCCTCAGGTGCTTTGGAGAATAGATTGACCCCCTTGACCCTCTCTTCTTTGTGGCAATCCCTGAGATATTGAACATTGCTATCATGTCACCCCTAATCTTTCTTTTCATTAAGATATACATACATACATACATACATATCTATATCTATATCTATATCTAATCTATATCTATATCTATATATCCAATCCCAGAAACTGTTCTTTTTATGTTTCAGCCTACAGTCCCCTAATCATCTTTGTTGCTCTTCCTAGAGCAGGGGTCTGAAAACTTAAACACTCAAAGAGTCATTTGTACCCATTTCCCACAAAAAAGAAAACACAGGGATCCATAAAATTACAGTGGGCCTAGTCAATTTGACAGTCACATGACCCCCTCCACCCACACCTACCCAAGTTTTGTGGCTCCCTTTATATTCTTTTAAACAGTTATCTCTGTCTCTCTGTCTCTGACTCTCTCTCACACACACATACACATCTCCCTTTCTCTCCTCTCTCTCCTCTTTCTCCCTCTCTCCCACATCTCTCATCTTTCTCTCTCTCTCATCTCTTTCTCCCTCTTTCTCTCCCTCATTCCTCTTTCTCCCCCTCTTTCTTTCTCATCTCTCTCTCTCATCTCTCCCTTTCATCTCTCATCTCTTTCTTTCTCATCTCTCTTTCTCCCACTCCCCCCCACCTCTCTCTCATCTCTCTCTGTCAATGCAGCCTTAGAACTGTATTGGCTTTTTTGGCAGTTACAGCACACTGCTGGCTCATATTTAAATAGATGTTTCACCACTGAATTTAATTTTGTTAGATAGCGCCCAATGTTCAAGTCTGTTAAGATCCTTCTGTATCTTAAGCCTATCCTCTGGAGTGTTGGCTATTCCTGCTAGCTTGGTGTTGTCTGAAAATTTGATGAGTTCCCTATCTATCTCCTCATCCAAATCATTGCTGAATATGTTGAAGAGTCCTGGGTCTAAAACAGAGCCCTGGGCTGGCCTACTGCATACCTCCCTCCATGTAGATGCAGTTCCATTGAGGACTGCATTTTGACTGCGGTTGGTCAGCCAGTTACAAATTCATCTGGTGGTGATGCTATCTAATCCACATTTTTCTATTTTATCTAGTAGTAGGTTATGATCTACTTTGTCAAATGCCTTACTGAAGTCCAAGTAAATTATATCAACAGCATTCTTCTGGTCCACTAATTTTGTCATTTGTAATTTTGTCAAAGAATGCAATAAGATTAATCTGTTATGATCAGTGTGATGACCCGTAGTCTCTGAAAACAACCCAAAACCCAAAACATATATTAAAGTCCAGTAAAGCCTTCAACTTAACTTCACTGTTTTATTAGCCACAGTTTAAAGTCACAAAAATAAATAATGAGGCAAACAAAAAACCAAAACAAACCGCATTGATGAGAGTTCTGAAGCAAGCCAAGATAACTAATTATAAACTCCAGGAAAATAACTGAGAAAAGTCTATGGGAAGAATGCCAGCAAAGATAAACCTCTTTCAAGGTAAACACTAATTGACTTCAGCAATTCTAACTGCGCAGTTGCAAACTTATATACATAGGTCCCACCTGCAAGCCATGAGAAGGATCATGGTAATCTCCTTGCTTTTCCTTGATCCTCTCTTCCCTGTGTGACCTAGGATGGATAGGGGATGGGCCAGGATCCTCCTCTGACTGCTCAGCAGCCCTCTGCCCTTCCCCAGCTTCCTCCACCACCTCTGGAGCCACACTCCCACTCCCTGTTGGCTGTTCCTCCTCTTCCTCAGAGTCAGACTCCACCAGGGGCATGACAATCTCTTTTTTGACAAAGCCATGTTAGCTTTTGCTTATTATTTTGTTTGCTTCTAGGTGTTCACTGATTCATTGTTTGATTATCTTTTCCAGAATATTCCTTGGTATTGAGGTCAGGCTGATGGATCTGTAGTTTCCTGGATCTATTTTTCCCCCCTATTTTGAATATGGGAACTACATCTGGCAGTTCCTCAGTGCTCCAGGATCTTTGAAAGATATAGTTCAGTGGTTCTGAGATCACATCTGCCAGTTCCTTCAGAACCTTGAGGTGCATTCTACCTGTTCCTGGTGATTTGAACTCGTCTAGACTGGTACTCCCTTACAATTTTCTTCCCTATTTTAATTTGTGTTCCTGATCTGTTTTTTGTGGTGCTGTTTTGATAGATTGGACTGTTTTTTTTCCCTTTGTGTAAAGATAGATGCAAAAAATGAGTTAAGTAGCTCTGCTTTCTCCCTGTTGCTTGTCACCTTCTTGCCACTTTCTCCAAGCAATGGACCAATTGTATCCTTGACTTTTTTCTTGTTTTTAACATATTGGAAGAAGTTTTTTTGTTATTTTTCTTTTACTTTTGTTGCAATCCTTTGTTCATTGTGATCCTTAGCTTTCCTCACTTCATCTTTGGAGGCTTGGGCTATTTGTTGATATTCTGCCTTATGTACCCCTCTTTCCATTTTTATACTTGTCCTTTTTGTCCTTCAAGTTCTTGGTGCAGCCATGCTGGTTTCTTTTGAGAGCTATTATTTTTCTTCTTCATTGGTATTGTGCTAGACTAGGCTTTTATAATCTCAATTTTCAAAAATTTTCCAAGCTTCTTGATTTGTTTTTCCCTTGAGGATTCTATCCATGGAATCCTTCCCAAGCTCCAAGTTTATTGAAATTAGCTCTCTTAAAATCCAAGGCTCTAGTTTGACTTTGTTCTAGTGCTTGTGCTTGCATAACGCTGAATTCCAATATTGCATGATCACCCCCACCCCAAGGTTCCTGTAGCTTCAACACCTTCTATCATTTCATCTCTGTTAGTGAGAATTAAGTCCAATATGGCTGATCCCCTAGTTCCCTTCTCTACTTTTTGGGACACAAAGTTGTCTGCTAGGTTTGTCAGGGACCTGTTTGATCTTTCACTTGGTGCAGAGTTGTCTTCCAGTTGATGTCAGGGTAGATTAAATCTCCCATTACTATTGTGGTGTGCTTCCTCAGTTAACTGACTAGCAAAATGTTCATCTATTTCCTCTGTTTGGTTGGGTGGCCTATATTATACACCTATGGTAGTGTCATTCCCTCCCCCTTTACATTGACCCAAATGCATTCCAGGCAGTTTTCATCAATTTTTGTACAGTTTTTCATTGGACCAGCTGCAGACATTGTGATTAATATAACCAAAGCCTTCCCTTTTACACCTCTTCTTTAGCCACACATTGAACTTCACTATACACTGGCCTTTTCCTTTTTGTTCCTTATATACCGGTAAAACCTCTAAAAAGATAAGCCTAAAGCCTATCCTACTAAGTTCCTTCCCCAAGCTCTGGAAATCATTTTGCACAGAAAATACATCTTTTTAAGGCAGATCATTGGTGCCAAGATGTACAATAGCATCAAAATCACAGTCCTTACTAGCATTCTTGACTATCTTAAAAATACATCCCTTGTCTCTGCAGGCAGTAGAACCTGGAAGATATCTGATCTCTTTCAAAATCTCCATATTCTTTCCTAAATTTACATCCCTTACAATTGAAATGTTATACAAGCTAAGGATATTTAGGTACACACATGTGGCACCTAAATTGCATCACAGGATTTGAATTCTGTCCTGGTATAGTACAGGACTATTTTTATTCCAAAGATGGAAATGAAAACAGTGGTCAGAATTGGGTATTTCTGTCAATGTAGTCCTGGGATAGAGGGGTACACAATCATGTTATGATAAGCAAAGCACAGAAGTAAAGTGGGTTCATCTTGTTGTTTTGAAGGTATCAGCACCTATGAGCAAGTGCAAAGTCGTCACAACGTGAAAGATGCTATCATTTTAATCCAGACAATTCTTCTTGTCCTTTTTGTGAGCATACCTGTGTTCCTAACCCAAGGGAAGGTGAGTGAGTGGAACATTCATAATAGCAGTTCAGTTGGGGGCTTGACTGACCACAAGATTATAATGGCGATTTCTGATATGAGTGCACGTGGGTGGTTTCTTCCTGAGTAAGAGATGGACTTTGGGGCATTTTGAAGCGCTGCAGGAATATAGTTCAAGACAGTGGGACTGCTTTCTCAAGGTGCAATCTAGGAGTGGGGGTGGGGGCTTTCATGCAGATTCAACCCCAAGGAAATGCCACTAGCAAGTATCTGAGGGTGCACCTTCCTACTCTCAGCCCCTTTCCTCTAGAACGGTTGACTCCAGATACAAGGGTGGGCTCTTTCGTATTTTCATTCTGGAGAGCTATTAAGGTCTGGCTCTTCTGGAGGATGTTTGGGAATGTTTCACTGGTACATAGCACCAGCACAATAATATATCTGACATGATTTTGATTCTTGTTTCATGTTCTGCTATATGAATGAACAAATATAAAATATGAACAAATAAATGAGAAAACACTTGAAATACTTCAGTAACATACAAACTGGCAACTGATTATCTGAAGATCATTGCCTTCAGAAGCAACAAATTGAGCAAACTCAAATCTGCTAAAGAAGGCTGAGAAAGCTCCTGCTTTTGAGCTTGTTTCTCTAACCATGGATTCCCCCCACCTCACCTCACTCACTCACGCTTATGGATGCCATAGCCTGATCCTCTAGAGTAACTGGACTACAGTTCCCATCATGAACAGACACTGAAACAAATCCTCCAAAAAGAAGCTGAGATAATGGGCTGAGGTAAAATCAGGTACATTTCTTAGGATGAAGCATATATTCTGTGAAAAATATGAACACAAAGCCCAAGCTGGAAGGTAGCGTAAGAGGACCTTACAAAGCAGATGGTGAACATAATGTTTTCCTGGGTTTGCCCATAATCAAATGGACTTCAGAAACAATCTCAAATATTTCAAAACCAGACATTACCATAAAGTGAGCACAGAGACCAAGAAACAACTTCTCTTTCAAATCATCACATTTCATCTGAAAGGATCTTCTCAAATTAGTCAGCATTTTCTGTTGTCCATTAATCATGTTTTTCTAAATATGGTATATTTAATTAAACATTACAATTATTGGATAAATAAGTTCAGCAAGAATTTTTTTAAAAAAGGATCAGGAATGCATAGCCAATGGGTCTCAAATGATTGTCAGAAGAAATGTCAAGCTAATTCAAGTTTGATTATATATCTCTATCTCTTTAGGGTGACAGAAAAGATGCCTCCGGGGAGGAACATACTTACGAGGTAAGCAACAGAGTGAGATATTCTTAGTCTTAACTACACTAAAATAGTAGGCATTTCTCTTCATATTCCATGCTTGCCTGATGTCTTCAGGCCAGAGAACTGGAGTGTCTATTTATACGTAGAAATCTTGAATTCCCTTCTTCTCCAGAAAAACCCTATCTGGAACTCTGGGGAACCACTGCCAGTTTAACAAATAATTCTGTCTTGGATGGATTATGGATCTAGTTCAGAAGTCAGTTTCTTTCATTCTTGACGTCTGGCTGAACAATCTGCTAGTCAAGAACTGGACTGGATGGGCCTTTTGTCTCATTGAGGAGGATTCCTTTTATGTCCCTGTAGGACATTTTTGGAGCAGTTCTTTTACCAGCATGCAGAAAGAACAAAATTGAGTTGGACAGCATGTTTCTAACTCTCCCCACCACAAACAAAGCGCTTTGTTGCCTTGGCTTGCACACTTTCCGTTCATTGGGTGGTTCCATTTTTCTTCTTCTACAGGGGCTGACGGTTGAACTAGTCGATACGTATGAAGACATTGGTGTTTACCAAGACAGACCAGAGAAGTGGGATTTGGGGGAACATCCATGTGAAGAATAAAAAGCCAGCAGCTGACTTTAACCAAAGGGATACCCATTCTTGGGGCAACCAGGATCCCCTGTAAAAATTCCACTCTAGAGAAGCTTTAAAAATGTGCTTATCTCTTGCTTGCAGCTGATCTGCTAGAAACCACTAAAAAGCAGTATCCACCAGATTCCTTGGGACGGTTGAATCAAAGTCATTCAAACGGGGAGAAGGGAGACAGAGACAATTTGAGCACACCATAAAAATGGAAGCAAAAAGAGCTGAGAAGATGAATGAATTTGTGACTAGATGGGCTTTTGGACTTGAGTTTGCTTGGCATTCCCTTCCCCCAAATGGCATCTTTTAATTAATAGAGCAGTTTCCTGCTCTCATTCCCAACTGCCGGCAAAGAGGACTGAATCTGATAAACTAGTATCTAACATCCCATTACTTCAGCTTCTTTAACCCAGGACCCTCCAGATGGTCTGGGACTACTCTCAGAATTCCTTCCCAAGATGGCTATGGTGAGAATATCTGGAATATATTAGCTATATAGGACACAATCTTTCCTACTGAGATTTACAGTTTTGCAGTTAGGATTTTTAGGCTCATGTTTTTAAAAAGTCTCTAGCATCCTTATGAAAGAATTTCAAACATATATGCTGAACTTTTCAAAATAATAAAAAAATGTTTACTAGTAATCTTTTTTTCCCAAACTTTGAGGTAGCATATTACTTCTTTGTTCCAGAAACATTAAAAATTGTGTTTTCAAATTTCTTCAGTACAGAAATCTGAAGATGAAACATTTTTAGGTTAATATGCATAAGCAATTTCTTAGAAGTCACATTTCCCATCTGGACAGTGAACAACAGATTTGTAACTAATTATGTTTTGGGTCTTTGGCAGCTCCAAGTGTCCTCCTGCTGGGTTGATTTTAAACAATCAGCATTTTCAGTTGCCAAATCTGGGTGAATCTCACAAGAGTTTAATCCAAATATATCTTTAAAGCACCAGGTTGGAAGAATGATATACTATGTAGGGTAAGGGTACAGAGGTTTTCATTCCTAGGTGAACACATGTGTCCGTGGGAAAACCTTCAGAGGTTGCATTTCAAAAGCCAAAGTATTTTTTTAAAACCCTTTTTGAAGTAGAGACCCAAAGGTTCTTATTCAAGAAGCAACTGGTCTTTCTGGTTTTCCTTTGATATTATTTAGCTTCTCATCCAAGAAGCTTCTTCAGCTCTCTCTTCAGAGCTGAAGAAGCTTCTTGGATGAGAAGTGAAACATCTTCAAAGAAAAGTTAGAAAATCCCGCCTCTTCAAGCCTCTTGAAAAAACAGCTTTCGGTGGCAGGACAGGGACGTCCAGAGGTGGAGAAGCCCAGCTGGGGCTTTCGAACACCTCTTCTCGCGTTTGGAGGGATCCCCAGTGGATACACAAAACCCGTAGAGCTTCGTGTCAGAATAGAAGACCCCCGGGTTGCTGTTTGGGGGTAGGCAACTCCCCAGCAACGAAGGAAGAGCCTCTGAGACCAGCGCGATTGAGCCAGCTGCCAGCTAATGGCGGCTCCAAAGTCCGGTCTGCCACTGAACTGACGAAGCAAAAAGTGACTGCCTGAAGGGTCTGAGCAGAAAAGGGCAGAAGGACTACAAAGCCGTGAGAGAGATCGGTCTGATTCTCCCTGTTTCATTGTGAGTAACAGTGGGGGAAGCTGGAGACAAGCGGCTAGAAAAGCAGTTTGAAAGTGTGGATTGGAGCGTTGCCGAGAAGAGAAAAAGGCGTGGGGAATTTAAGAAGCTCGGGAGTGGATTGCCATCTCGGATCAGCGCGTGGGAAGGCTAGAAGACTAGGAGAGGATTTTAGCTGCGAAGGAGGGCAGAGCGAGAGGTAGAGAGCCAGATAACGACGCACTGACTTTTATATGCAAGATCCTTTCCTTTTAGCATTATTGCCTACAAACTGATTTTTAAAGTGATCGATCTGAGGTGGATGCCCAAAGTGACTGTGGATTGACAATTGCTGGCAGAAGGGAAGAAGAGGAGGGAAGAAGAAGAGACAGACGGAAGCCTGGCCAAGACTGTTCGCTGATCGCAGACAGCAATTAGTCAGCACTTCCTCCCCCTGCTTCCTTGGTGCGCCCAGGAGGAGAGACTATAAGACTAAAACGCCAGCCCCAACTCAGACTTGTTTTTCTATGGAACTAATCCTACAGATACGTGCTTTGTGATTCCCTAAAATTGAAAAGACCCCTTTCCTCCTGCATTCTTTCTCTCTCTCCCTTTCTTTTTGTTCTTTCCTTTTTTTTCTATAATAGTTAAAAATACAAGTATAAAGGCAAACTGCTTGTTACAGTTATTAGGGTTTACAGATTAGACTCTCTTGGATATATAAAAATTTTAAGGACTGTTAATAGGGGTGTCTCAGATAAAATGGAATCTTAAATATTAATATACACTATAGGACAAAAGTATATATAGAGTGAGATATTCTAAAGTTGGTTGTATGCTTTAAACAAGTATGATTTATTAGGGGTAAAATACAATTAACTCTGGTATTTGAATTTAATATAGAGAATAATACATAATACATAATATATATTATTTGATTACATTCTATTGTATAGCATCTATTGTATAGTATTGTATAGTATCTGATAACTCTCTATTGAATTGGAATTTAATTTGCCTGAATGACAGATTGGGCCGAAGAAAGAGACCTAAAATTATCTGGTGTGTAAGCTTAGCAAATAGATTTGTAATCACACTCAAAGGGCCATTACATCGAATGGTGATTTGGGATAATATTCTTAACATTGTCCAATTGCAAAAACAAATCTTATCAGAGATGACTTCCACAACAACCACGGCCCTGAAAACAGGAAGGAAGAACAACCAGACCTTGATGACAACTCTGGCAACTGCCTCCCCAACAATGCAGAAAACTATAGAAGAGACCTTGGTAGGAGAAAAACAACCGACTGTTACTAATGCCAACCTACAAGCGACATTATTATCCCTGCAAGAATCAATGCAAGAATCAATGTCTAGAATGCAGGAGATTATGATTAGGAATCATAATGAGACCAGAGCAGATATTAGCGAACTGAAGGAAGAAATGGGTAAATTAAAAGAGGAGATGAGAGCAGATATACAGAGAGTTGAAGATAGGGTTGGGACAATGCAATTGGCCATGGAAAGAACTGAATTAAAAATAAAAGAAATAGAGAAGAGGACGGAACAAGCGGAGAGGAACCTAGAAAGGACTGAGGAAGATTTCAAAAATGTTAATAGAGAAATGGAAGATTCCTTGGTCCAACTTGAGATGGACAGAGCAGCTGCATACTTAAGGTTCCAAAACATGGAGGAATCCAAAAATGAAGAATTAGAACAATTAATGGCAGGTTTGTTGGCTGAACTAGTTGAAGAGAAAGATGACTTACTCAAGGAATTTGATGAAATCTATAGGGTGAATACCAGTTATGCAAGGCGTCACAATTGCCCAAGGGAGATCCATATTCGCTTTTCAAGAAGATGCATGAGAGACCTAATACATAGAAAGGCCAGAGATGAGAGAATATTATATAAGGGCAAAGAGATCATAATTCTCAAGCAGATTCCAAGAAAAGTAAGGGCCATAAGGCAAGAATATAAATTTTTAGCCAATTACTTAAATAAAAATGAAATCTCATTTAAATGGCTAATCCCAGAAGGGATGCTAATATCGTGGAAGGGAAGAAAAATTAAAATAGACTCAATAGAACAAGCACAAAACTTCCTAGAACAGCTAACAACCATGGAGGATCAACTCACTAGGGAGAAAATCCAAAGGAATATGCAGGAAGATCGTAACCGCCACAGGAACAAAGAAGAAAGATCTGTCCAAATTCAAGGGAAAGACAACTTACAACGAGAAAGAGAAGAAACAACTCCATATCAACCACAAGAAGAGAGCCGTAGAGTTACGAGACAAAAAGCGAGGCAGACTTAAGTAAATGGACGAAGGAAGGAAAATTCTTTCCATTAATATAAACGGCCTAAATTCAAGAGCTAAAAGGAAAAGGATTCTAACCAAACTAATAAAACAAAATGTTGATATAATTTGCATACAAGAAACACACATTAGGAAAAGTGAGGAGAAATTCCTAGATTGTCCGAAACTGGGAAAATTATTTACAGCACCAGCAGATAAACACAAAAAGAAAGGTATTGCAATCTATGTGAGAGATGACTTAAAAGCGGAGTTAATCTGGGCGGACCCTGTAGGAAGAACTCTGGTGGTACAAATCTCGATTAATGGCATTACACTCTTACTGGTAGTAATCTATGCCCCAAATGATGATCAAGGTAAATTTTTTAAACATCTCCATCAAAAAATAACAGAATTTGAAAATGGTAATATTATTCTGATTGGCGATTTTAACTCTATTGCTGACTACCGGAAGGATCATAGTAATAGAAGTAAGAACAAAAAAGGAAATAGAGAATTCTCTAAGCCATGTAAGGATATGTTGAATGAAATGAATCTGGTAGATATCTGGAGAAAATTAAATCCCAAAAAAGAACAGTTTACTTATTATTCTAACCCACACAAAATTTGGACAAGAATAGATATGGCTTGGATAAACGGTGAATTAATTAATGAAATCAAAGATAGTGAAATCTTACCAAATGACTGGGCTGACCACAACCCAATTCAAATAACCTGGAGGGGTAGAAGAAAACCAAAGAAAAGATGGACTTTTAACACTCATTTAATAAAAGAAGAAGAATATACTAATAAACTGAAAGAAGAACTGAACTTCTTCTTAAAGGAAAATAATAATGATCTAACTTCGAAACAAAATATATGGGACACATTAAAGGCATTTATAAGAGGAATAACAATCTCTTACAATGCTATGAGAAATAAAAGAAAGTATGCCCAACAAAGTAACCTACAACAAGAAATTAAGGATTTAGAAACCCAATTACAAAAGAACCCCCAAAACCAAAGAATACAGAACCAGTTAATAACAACTAAACACAAACTAAATTTACTGGAACAAGAAAAATTGGAGATTACTCTGAAAATGACTAAACAAATCTACTTTGAGCATGCAAACAAGCCAGGGAGATGGTTAGCCCACAAACTTAAGAAAACGAAAGAAAAAAGATTGATACACCAATTAATGGACGAGGGGGGCAATATGCATGAGGAGATAGAGAAGAAAAAAGAGATCATTTTTAATTACTTTGGGAAATTATACAAAAAAGAAGAAGTCTCTGAGGATAAAATAATGAAATACCTGGAGGAAGCGAATGATAAAGCAATTGGAGAGGAAGAGATAGAATTATTAAACCAAAATATAACATGGTCCGAACTGAAGTCAGCAATAGAGAAGCAAAGTAACAATAAAGCACCAGGACCGGACGGAATACCGGTAGAACTTTACAAAATTATCATAGAACAAATTGGACCACTGATGCTGGATGTATTTAATGAGGTACTCTTAGCAGCCAAGATGCCGGACTCGTGGAGGGGAGCCTTAATTTCGCTGATCCCGAAGGAGGACCTAGACCACAGACTTATTAATAATTATAGACCAATTTCGCTCCTGAATGCAGATTACAAATTATTATCTTCTATAATAGCCAATAGATTAAAACAGGTTTTAAACACTTATATCCATGAAGATCAAAACGGATTTCTCCCATTTCGACAAATTAAGAATAATTTAAGAACAGTGATAGACATTTCAGAATACTATGAAGCCCACCCGGAAAAACAATTTGCATTTATGTTCTTGGATGCTGAAAAAGCATTCGATAATTTAAATTGGCATTTCTTAATTCAAAAAATATATAATATGAATCTTGGCACCAGATTTGAAAATGTCATCACT